TCATTCCCTTTTACAAAATATATGCGTAATAATTTATATCGCTATGAACAAATTGTTAAGAAATAAAATCTCTGTTTCACCTATTCTAGTTGTTTATATACGATTAGCATGCTTGTTTCGATAATTGATATGTACATAGAAGTTTGTGTCTAATAATTCATTATAGAATACTTCTAAAAATGTAGACATAAATACATTTTACAAATAATAATTTGATAAAGTGGACCACGTAGTTTTTATGGTGTACTTCTCAAATAAAAGACACTCATTAGTTGCCAAGCATCTTGTTTGAAAGGTAAAATTGTAAATTTTGAATTAAGTTTAATGTTTCTACAATACACTTGGCACACGACAGTTCTTTCCAAGCTTTCTTTGATTTACGTTTGTATAAGGGCAGCAGTACGTTTTTTTAATTTAATACAGGACATTTTCACGTTGCTGTTTTTAATATTTTTTTTAAATAATGTTTGGTAATACCTTTCTAACATTGTAACAGTATTGTATTTTGAGTCTAATTTTGTGTGTTTATATTTGCATTGTTTTTCTGTCCCATACTCTGTTAGAAACATGAACCTTCTTCAGGAGAAAAATGGTTGAATATAATGCGAAACATAAATAAATAATTAAATCCACCCAGACATCGAACGTATGCTGGCAGATTCATGGTCGCTAGTACTGACATGCACACTATATTGAACCTCCTTTAAACTCCATGGAATTTAATTACAATAAATATTCAATCCATCAATTCTTGCCTTTTTATAACATGACACGCCGATTATTAATCAAAATAAATGTGTCCATGAGTACAGACTACGACAGTTTGAATGAAACTGAACAAAGCACACTAGATAGTTGATTGCATTGTTGAAACAAATTCGCATACCATTCTGTGTTGTTTTTGTATCTACGTTCAAAAACTGTCAGCGCATTTCCTAGAAATAGTTAAAGTATAGTAACACCAACATGCCCACCAGTCCTGTGTGATGTTTATGTCAGGTTTGATTACAATCATCCCAGGCATATTTGAGGAACGGTTGATGACACGCTCAACGCTCATGCCAGTTGGTTAAATTTGACCAAAATCCCGAAACCCCTAACGGAATACCAATAGTAATTCTAAGATTGCGTCCATGAATGTATATTATAGTTCCTCGCCTCCTTTTGAAATGACGTGTAGGTTTTTTGTATTTCAATACACGTGAATCAAATATGCGTTATTTCAATGACGAAGTGCTTCATGTAGATGGCAATGTTTGAATACATGTTGAAAAAAATATGTATACCATTATGTATTGTCTATTGTCTTTGTAAGGTTGCTTTCTTGTATACAACAAAATGTCTAAATAGAATTCTACACACGATTATTCGTGGAAATCAAGCAGACAATTAATTCAACCAGTGACTCTATGTATTTTTCTATTCTTCATTTGACTTCCAGTATTTGTTTTAAAGATGAAAGGATTCTGGGCACACTGTATGCAGGCCAATCCAGTGTCTTCATTTCACTTCTATAAGCACCTTGAAAGATCGCAACAATTCTACAGCATTATTATGTTTAGTGATGTTAATAATGAGTGAATAAATATATTGAATATCATTATTGCACGAACTTAGAGGAAATTACATTTCGTTGTAATTA